GCTAGTAGCACTCTGATCGAAGTATGTCTGACCACTGGTGAGAAAATCTCATTGTAGTCAACTCCTTCCCTCTGCGAGAAGCCTCGCGCAACCACCCGAGCTTTAAATTTCATGCCCTCTTTAGAAGTGATTCCTTCCTTCTTCTTGTAGATCCACTTGTTTGTAACAATCTTCCTTCCCTGTGGTCGTTTGACTAGCTCCCAAGTCTGATTCCTGTCATGGGATTCCATCTCATCTCCCATTGCGGCAAGCCACTGATCAGCTTCACCACCCGAAACTGCTTCTCTATAGGACTGTGGCTCTCCTGCATCCACATCTTCAGCAACTTGAAATGAATACGCCACCATGTCCTCGAAGCCATACCTCTGTGGAGGTACTCCTGCAGTCGCTCTCTTCGGTCTACCGGAAGTAATAGACTGTTGAGCTCGTGCACTGGACTCTGAAGTTTCTGGCTCTGCAGAGACATCCTCATCATGTTGATCTTCTCCACCTTGGTGCTCAAACTCACTCTCATTGAGAGTTTGCAGCTCCACCTCTTTATCAACATTCCTGCTACCTTCAGCAACAGTAACCTTCAACATGGGGTTAAACATAGACTTCTCATCAAATATCACATTTCTACTAAGTATAACTCGATGCTCAGAAGGTGACCAGACTCGAAATCCCTTAACTCCATCTCCGTAACCCACAAATACACCCTTCTTTGCCCTTGGGTTCAGTTTACCCTCATCCACATGATAATAAACAGGACACCCAAACACTTTCAGTGAAGAGTAATCAGCAGGCTTACCATACCACAACTCATAAGGAGTCTTGCACTCGATACCTGTGTGAGGTCCACGGTTGATCAGGAAGCACGCCATGTTCACTGCTTCTGCCCAGAATCTTCTCTCTAGTCAAGCATTAGAGAGCATGCACCGTGCTCTCTCCAACAATGTCTGGTTCATCCTTTCTGCAACGTCATTCTGCTGGGGTGTATCTCTAACAGTCCGATGACGGGCAATCCCTTCATCCTTGCAGAATTTGTTGAACTCAGAATTACAGAACTCCAGACCATTGTCCGTTCGCAGCTTCTTGATCTTCTTCCCGGTCTGATTCTCCACCAATGTCTTCCACTGCTTGAACTTCGTGAAAGCCTCACTTTTCTGCTTCATCATGAAAATCCAAGTAAATCTCGAATAATCATCAATAATAGACAGAAAATACATGTTGCCTCCAATGGATTCAACTCGTGAAGGACCCCAACAATCGGAGTGGAGGTAATCCAGTATCCCCTTCGTCCGATGGATACCCTTCTTTGGAAACTTGCTGCGATGTAGCTTCCCAAACACACAATGCTCACAGAATTCCAAATTCTGCACCTTGTGCCCGCAAAGAAGATCCCTCTTCGATAGAACTTGCATCCCCCGTTCACTCATATGCCCCAATCTCATGTGCCAGAGAGTGGTCATATCTTCCTGATGAACCTGAGACGATGCAACTGCAGCAGAGCCAGACAACACAGACCCTTGTAATGCATACAAGGTTCCACGCTTCACGCCCTTCAGTACCTTCCTCGAACCCTTGCAGACATACACAACTCCACCTTTTCCTTTGAAGCTGAAACCCTTGCTGTCGAGTAGACTCAAGGAGATCAGGTTCTTTGTCATTCGTGGAACATGCCTGACATCATTCACGGTACAGAACAAACCATCATGTGTCCGAACCTTTATGGACCCGATTCCAACAACCTTGCAGACAGCTCCATTAGCCATGACCACGTTACCACCATCTATCTGCTCATAGGTTGTGAAGCAATCCCTGTTCGGAGACATATGGTATGAGGCTGCAGTATCCAGAAACCACACATCACCACGATGTGCCTTCTCATCTACAACCAAGGCGAGATCGTCTTCAGAACTGTTGTCCACTTCTGCCACGGCAACTGAACCTTGTTTCTTCTGTTGCCCTCTTCTCTTGGGACAGTTGTACTTCCAATGCCCCCACTTCCTTACAGTTGTGACAAGCATCACCTGGCTGTGGACCGGGACCCTTGGAATTCTTGCTCGAATTCCCTTTACCAGATTTCTTCTTTCCCTTTCCACCTGTAACAGCCAAACCCGATGCCTCACCACCTGTACCAGATCCGGACGCCTTATGTCTGATCTCTCTCGTATGAAGAGCAGACCTGACATCCTCCAACGACACGCTTTCTTTACCAGCAATAAAAGAATCAACGAAATTCTCATATGAACTCGGCAAAGAAACCAGTAGGATTAGGGCAGCATCCTCGTCATCAACTTGAACATCTATATTACGCAGATCCAGCAAAATAGAGTTAAGCTGTTCGAGATGTTCCCTCAAAGGCGTACCTTCTTGCATCCTCAAGCTGAACAACCGTTGCTTGAGATGTAGCTTGTTGGTTAGAGACTTCGTCATCTACAGACTCTCCAGTTTCAACCACAAGCCCGCGGCAGTCTTCTCAGCAGCGACTTCAATGATGACGTCATCAGACAACGATAGCATGATGGTCGAGTGGGCCTTCTCCTCCAGGGTATTCCACTCATCGTCATCGACCGCTGCCTTCTTCTGTTTCGCAGACAGCGGCCCCCACAGCCCTTGCTGTTTTAATAAAGCCTGCATCTTGATCTGCCATATAGCGAAGCTGTTCTTCCCCGTGAACTTTTCGATCTTCATGTTCACCGACGTCATTCTTCTGAATCGAAAACCCTAGTCTGATTTCCAACCAGGCTCTGATACCACTTGTTATAAACGCGCTGCTACGGATCGGGAAATCGCCGGAATTGACAAAGCAAGAATACGAAAGCGAGAATCGAAAGAACACAGACACACGATTTACGTGGTTCACTAACACGATGTGTGCTAGCTAGTCCACGGGCGAGAGAGAGCCAGTTTCACTATATCGAGGAGATTACAGATTACAGAGGAGTATGAGAAGTATTTATAGTACTTCTCCATGTGGGTCTAAACCTAATCCAATCTGCCAAAGGAAACGGTTACAGACCAGGCCCAGAACCCGAACCCAAATAACATTGAGACCCCCGATTACCAGTCGTAGCGGCTGATAGTTCGATTCAAGTCATATCAACAGAACAGGTATCCAAAACAAAACATGACAAACAAACGTATCCGCAACTTGTCGTCCTGAATGTTTGGTAACAGCTTCTTGAAAGTCCACAACTTGTTCCAATCGGGGTCTTCTCCGTCCATACCAGGGAGTTCATCACACAACTATTTGCACCTGTCCCTATCAAATGTCGTCCCCATATTTTTTACCTTGAGGAAGTCCATACACTCGATGAACATCATCAATGGTAAATGGAATTGCAGTGCCATCATCCATGATTATCGACATTGTATCTACATTGAAATTGTTTACCAACCAATTCAAAAGGGGCTTGTCAAACCTCTTCATTTGCAAGTCAAACACAACACCCAAACCCAACTTCTTCAGTATAACCCTTCTCTCGTCTGACACTCCAACATTCACGACTTTAATTATCGAGTTAGGGCTGCACTTCTTGCTGGATACATCATCACTACGTTTCCTCTTGCCCCTACCTTGTTCTCCCTGTTCCCAGCTCTCACGACGTCGTTTCTTGCTGTACCCGCACTAGAGGAAGGAGCCGATTTACCAAAACTTCCACCTGCCTGAAAACATAGGTTGCAGGCTTCTTGCTAGCAGCCTTCTGGCCCCCAGGATTCTGGCCTGCAGGTTTATTGCCTGCTAGCACCTCAGGAGAATTGCCTCACCTTAGCAAAATCTTGCCGCCGCCACTATCGGCTTATATAAGCTCTGTCGCAGATAGAAGCAGTCAACGGGAATCGATCAAGCGCAACAGAAAAAAAAAGACAAACAAGGTTCAAAGTTGAGGGTTCGAGATGGAAGACGGAGGACGTCCGACGAGAGTGATGGGGCGACCGCTGTTGTTAAGGAGAGGATGGTGGCGGCGGGGGATAGTGATTAGATGAGTAGGTGGCGAAGGGTTACGATCGGGTTCTGAACAGAGAGATAGAGAAGGAAACGAAACGGTGAGATAAAAAAAAGGTAAGGGGGAATGAATTTTAAATTATGCGTGGGAACCAATTCTTTCCCTTTCCAATGTATTTTGGGATAATTAATTACTGAATTAATTAAAAATTACCAACTTTTTTATTCCTACCATTAGATTAAACCTATTGGGGATGGACGGTAAAGAAGTTGGGTGTCGAAAATCACTACCCCTTTAGGGGGTAGTCACGCTAACCGGTCCCATGTCGAATACCGTTGATTTGGGTTCAATTAGGATTCAATTGTCATAAGTTAATTGATTAAAACCTTAATAGCATAAAATTAATTGATTAGAACCATAATGACATAAAACTCATCCAAGCTCTGGTCAATGACGAAATGATCACCCCTTGTGATGTGACTCTAAGTAATAGTAACTTTTTATTTGTTCTTTTAATAGAAGAAAGAATAAAGTTGAATATAACTAAAATGAACTGGCAAAGGTACTGGCCAAAAACATTATTCATTAAAGACTAGAAGGTGGCTGGAGTGTTAGTCAACCCAAAGGGCATGACCCTGAACTCGTAATGACCCCGGTGAGTCCGAGATGCCGTCTTGAACTGGTCATTTGAATACATATGTATCTGATGATACCCTGCTCTTAGATCGAATTTTGAAAATATAACTGAAACTAGCAATTTGTTCAAGAGATTTTCAATATGTGGAATTGAAAACTTGTCCTTTATAGTTGCTGCATTTAGTTCCCTGTAATCGACATAGAAGCGCAAAGACCCATCTTTTTCCCCAATCAACAAAATGGATGAAGCATAGGGACTGTGACTAGGTTGAATAAACTCAGACTGCAACTTCCGTGTAACACCCCGATATTTTGGTTTAAGTTCGAGCATATAAAACGAATGGTTGGATTGACGGTCACATACAAAGGGTTATAACCATAAATTAAGAATAATAATAATAATATTAGTACCTATTATTTTTATTACAAACAAAATTCCACACCCGTTACCCTCCTTCCCCCTCTCACGATCCATTATTCCATCTCCCATCTCTCTCTCGGCTGTTTCCAACAGTAGAAAACCCTAGTCGTGTCCGTCTGCCTCCCCGTCTCTACGAAACACCGCCAGTATGCGCAACTGATAGATGCTCCTCGTCGTCCTTCTCTCTGTCGTTAGTACAATCTTCGCCGGCGAATTGGGAGTGCCCAATGACGATGCATCCACTGTCTCTCGGAGGCTTGAAGTGGTGGAGAGGATAGAGCCAGACTCCGGGCGAAGGTAACGCTAATTACAGTTGCAACCATGGGTATATTCTTCTAATGGATACAAATGGAAATTGTGGGGCTAGATTTGGGGTTGATGAGTTATATATATATATAGCGTTAAACAATTGGGGGTTGTTAGCTGTGTTATAATGATGATGATTAGTAATGACTTGAAGAGGGTAAGTGCTCGATGGATTTGGCCTCAGTTAAAGGCATGTTTTACATGTAGGAATATATATAAGGTTTACAGGAACTAATGAATAATTTAGTATGCCACCTGGAGTTAGGCTGGCCGAGGAAGGCATTTTAGAATGCGATGATATTGCGTTGGGGCATGCTTGAAATAGGCTGGAATTTGGATTGATGAGCAGGCCAGTTAATTATTAGGTTGGATATAGGATGGTGATTGGGGAAACATTGCTTATCGGGTCCTGGTATTTGGAAGGGGAAATGAACAGGGTTCAGTAAGTCATTGTTTACCTAATGATAATTTGTGGGTTGTGGCATGGAATTGGTGTACGTGTAAGCTAAGGGCATGAGTTATTATTCATTGCATTTGGGCGATGAAAATAGTAATATGGGGTAGTGATTATATAGAAGTGGGAATGGATTAATAAGTGGCTAAAGTGGGGTTCTTAGTCTTGGCATTTGGCTATCGTATTAGCTGCTAATGAAATGTATGCCCAACACTAGTGGAAGAATATGTGAACGTTATGGAAGTCGACAACAGATTCGGAATGCGATGGCATGTCAAAAGTGTATGGTCAGCCAAGTGAGTGTTAAGGGGGTAAAATCTCCGTCGAGATCTTTTAGTTTATGTCTTTTATTTCAGTTATGTTTGTTATTTTCAAGTAAGTGCGATTATGTATGTGAGGCATCCCACTGCCTACTTAAGGCGGAGGCACGCGTTGTGCTTATGTGTGTGTGTATGGATGTGTATGGTTATTGGTAACTGAACCCCCGGGTGGTTAGGCCACTACTGGACGCGTTAGATGGTCGGATCACTGCTGGACGGCAATACGTAACAAAACAGTTGATCGAGAATATTGGGTCACTACTGGACGCCGATACGTAACGCAGTAGTTGACCGGGCATGGACTGGACGGCGATACGTAACACAGTACAATTGCCTTGAGGATAGGGACACCGGACGACGATACGTAATGCGGTGGTACCTAGTATTTATGTGTATGAGTTAAGGATAGAAGTAAAGAAATTCTACAAGATAAAGTTAAGAGTATAGGAGGTTCCATAAGCTATTAAGGAAGTAAGGTACTTAAGGATGAAAGCTAAAACGACTTTCATCTAGGGAAAGGAAATGCTAATAACGTGTTTTAGTAAGGAGTTTGCTTAGTGCAAACACCTTAGGAAGTAACGACGAGACTAACCCTTTCTCACTCACCAGGTTTATGAAGGGTTAGCAGAGGTGGATTCCGAGAAGAAGTAAGACGAGGCTAGCTGTCACACCAGCAGGGACGAGACCTCAGGGAATCAACAAGGAGTTAGAGCTAGAGTTAGTTTAATTATTTTGTTCATGATTATGAGTTTATGTACTAGACATTCAAGGCTCAAGATTCTGTGTTAAGTTGTTTTAAGTGTTTGAGATTGAGATTTTTCCCAAGTGTTGGGGCTTTTCGTTTAAAATTCTTATATAATATCAGTTTGTTTATTTTCAAATGTGGTTTGGGTAGCTCCGGAGTAACCGGTTTTCGCTTTGAGTTATGGTTTGGTTTTGGAAAAGAGTTGGGGCGTTTCATTTCGCGACTAATTTCTCAGCTACAACCTTTTGCTGGTGAGGGAACCTATAGGGTCAAAGGTTGATCGGTTTAGTATTGGGAATAAGGGGAATAGTATGAAAAAAAACGCGAGATGGTGGCACAGAGGTGGGAGTAGCAAAAAAATCGGAGAATCAAGCAAGTAAGGGCTCTAAGAAAGGAGGGGTAGGATTGGGGCTTGGAACAACTTCAATGGAGAACACAGCTCTTGCAAACTGTGTGTAAGGTTTCTTAAGGATTTGCTAGAAATCCTGGCCCGACATCATTTTGCATTGGCTGTCCATAGACAGTCCTTGCAAGGTCAGGGTTCTACCCTTCCATTCAAAGGCTAGTTGCCTATTCTTGAGATCTACTTGAAAAAGGGCTTATGGTTTCTAACCAGTCCCACCCTAACACCAGATCATGAGAAGACAAATCCAGTGTTCTAACATCGAAACAAAACTCTTGACCCTGCATTTTCTAGCTGGATCCTCGACAAACAGAGTTACCCAACAGGGTGTGGTCACTAGCTACCTTAACTCTCATAGAAGCAATGCTTTTGGTCTGGCAATTCAATCTTTTGCCTTAATTGAATTCATAAAAGTATGTGAGTTTCGTGTGTTGATAAGAATAGTTATCTCGCTTTGTCCTACCATGGCTCGAATCAGCAGAGGTTGCCCGTAAATTATGAACCCATAAACTCTAGAGAAACCTCGAGCTCAGCACCCTGAAACTCGTCTTCCTATTCCTCCTCCACACTGGAAAAGGAGAATCTTCTGCCTGCATCACTTGGAATTGTTTCTTCTTGGCGCACACATGAAAATGAGGTGGTGCTTCCCTCGTCGAAGATCTGGTTGAGGTCGGTGGAGTAGTAGCAAACCAACGATTGGCGGAAACAGTACGCGACTTCCTCTTTTGAACTTCAATGGCAGCATCCTCCAATAGAGCCTGAAAGGCCCAAGCAAATGTAGGGGGATTAAGCACTTGTACCTGCGGTGGAATCTCGTCGTCAAGTCCCCCCAAAAAGATGAGGATGAAGTAATGTTTGTTGAGCTCCTGATTCAGACGAAGCATCTGCGAACGCAGTTCCTCGAATTCCTCCTAATAGCGAAAAATGGAGCTTGTCTGCCGTAGGTGATTGAAGGACGCAGACTCACTCCTACTGTCACTCTAGAAAATGGCCAAGTGTAACCACTTTCTAAAGCGTAGTATAGCGGGTTTGGGTTTTAATGTCAACCCGGGTCCTAGATGTGATGACTACTCAGTGAATTCTTATTATCTAGCGGTGAAACTTTAGTGCAAGTCCAAATTAACAAACAAACAAACAAAGCAAGTTTAATGGTTGTTTTCAAGTCGAGAGAGGTCACCCGGATATGGTTCCCCCCTAGACTGCAGTTAAGTCGGATTGCAATTTACCAAGTTCAGTTTCTATGATAGTTATACTGCGGGAGGTTCTTAAACAGTCTGAAGTCTCGACTAAAGGTCTCCAGACCCTCTCAATCTGAGTCCCCAGCAGGCGACTAACCTCCACCGAAGTAAACAGATTGAGGCCCTAACGAACCAAACCTCCACTACCGAAGTGAATTCGGTACAGAATAGTGAATTGTCTCCTCGACTAAAGTCGCCAATTCACTACCTTCAATTAAGGGTGCTCTATTAACCTAGGCAGATATTCTCTTTCTAGGCTAAAGCAGAAATAACAGGAATTTGATCAGGATTCAAGTCATTCAATCACTCAAGCCTCAATTGAACATAATCAAATCATAAAATCTGTACTTGGGTTCATACAATCAGACCTAACATACAAATCTAGGGTTCTCCTTACCCAGATGAATGGGAAAAATACTCCATGGAGAGAGAAGCAAAAGCATATTCAGATGCGGAAATCATACTGTGAAGGATGGGTTTCCGCTCCTGGTTGTCAATCGTCACTTCTCCAAGCTCAAGCCGGGATCCAATGGTTATGAAGAACAAGCTAGGGCACTTGGGAACTCTAGTTCTTCGCTTTCTCTCTCTGTCTCTCTAAAACTCGGAACCCCCCTCTCCTTTGGCTCAAATCTGCCTAAAAACCCGATTCTGGGCGAAATGCGGGCAGAATTACGGTCGTAATCATGGTCTGCCCGTAAATCGCCCAAAAATCGCGTTTCACTTTACTCTGATGGGGGGAGAATTACGACTGTAATTTCCAGATTACTGCCAGTAATTACTGAATTACGGTCGTAATTATTGTGACACTTGCCCGTAATTCCACTGCCGAGAGGAATTCTGGGGAATTAGGCTCGACATTGCATTTACGGGCATGCCTGGGCCAATTACGCCCGTAATTTGGTAGGGCTGCCCGTAATTTGCTCTTTGAATCGCCACCTGACCTCCAAATGACCCGAAACTTGCTCCTATGCACCTCTTTACTTGCTAGGACTTGAAATACGACAAAACAACACAACCTAGCGTAAAATAGGCCAAGGAACAATCAATTCGAGCTAAAATGGTCAGGGAACAACAATGAAAACATGTGCAAATACGACGCTATCAAATTCCCCCACACTTAACCGTTTGCTTGTCCCCAAGCAAACCAAGTCAGATACAAGGTAAGCTCGAAAAATCTCAATCATGAACCCCTCGGGGACATATCACATAGGCACGAAACATGGGAATCACACCGGCTTTCAAACATCAACACATGAACAACTTCAACCGCAACCTGGACAACCACCACAGAGGACATTCGAGTGCAGCAAAATCGAGTAAAGGAGGAGTCTCCCTTCTGTTCACCAACCAACTTAGACTTGACTCAACCACTTACTCAAGACAGTCACCTCATGCACAAAACTCAAGATATCAGAATTGAGACCGAGCAATCTAGGTCCTCACCGGGGTAAAGAGTATAGATAATATGAGAAAATGAATCGCTCACTCTCGACCAGTGGGGTCAGGACAATTTGATGCGAAAAATGCGCATGCTTATTCTCTCAATCCCTAACATCTCTTCACCATGAAGGCAACCTCTAAATGTTATAGTTCACATACGGGGTGTCACCACTAACTAATCCGGAGGTCTTAGACACAGGTTAAAATGACTGGCTAGGGTCTTGGACATGGGGACAAGGCCTTTTAGGTGGTGGAAATATTCATAGCACAAGGTTCCACAGTTCCCAATCCAACACAATCACAACCAATCAAACCAGTATTTCCTTTCTGCCATTCTGCATTACTCAAATTCTCTAGAGCACAAGAGCGAAGGAGGTTATATAAATATCATCATTTCCAAGCCAAACTGCTAAGAAACACTACTTAATGGGCACTATTCAGATTCTTGGTAGTGGCTCTCTCTTGCTTTCAATTTTTTCTTTGTTTTTCTTTCATTTCTTTTTTCATTTCTTAAGAGAACCACCACCTCTGCACATTTTTCAAACACATGCCCAATTTTTAAGCACTACCTCCAACCCTCACATTATATTTAGCAGAAACAGCAGAGAACATATAAAAACCACTCTGTGGAACCTTCTAAAAGATGCAAAAGGGTGATTTTCCATTGTAGACCGAAAGAAAGGAGAACACACGGCTCAAAGGGCTGACTAGGGGATATGACACATAAGGACAGTCAATTTGGTCGTGAGCTAATCCTATGCCTCCATCATCTTAGCTAATGAAAACGTGAATGCTACACATCATGGAAGAGGGATCTATCACACAAGAAAGAAGCGAGCAGGCTCAAATCTCACATGGCTACGTATATGCTCTATCTCTCATTCTGATTACCTGAACTAGATGCATAAACGACTGTCAAGAACAAGTGATCAATCCAAGTCACGGTTGGTAAGCAAAAAGTTGAAAAACCAAACCCCTACACAATTCTACTTCACATCTCAGTCATCATCATAGGTTGTCCTAGTTACAATCAAGCTGTCATGCATTAAGTCGAAAGCCATTCAATTCACCAATTAAAACCACAGTGCCAATATGATCAAGCAAACAGTAGTGCTTAGAGCCCTCAAATCTCGAGATTTGGACAGCGGACTAGGCTCCAAGCACACATTTATACGTTCCAATGAATACAAAGAAACCCCCCCCCCCCCACACACACACTTAAATGCGATAGTGTAATCAATGGAGCAGAGGGAAGGGGAATGATGTTACCGTGAAACAGTGGTCAGGAACGTTGACTGGATGGCGGACCAGTCAATAGCAGAGGACTGGACAAGGACCAGTCCAACGGGTACAGAGCTAGAGGCAACAAAACACACACACATTGGGTGAAAGAAACCATAGTTCCAAGGCTACAATCCAAACAACCAGGACAAGAAAAAGAAACAAACACAATATGGAGACTAAGTCTGGAAAGAAAGACAAAAGCAGAGCCCAACTCGATGGGCAGCAAGCAGAGCCAGCTCAGTACTCATCGCCTCCGTCGCTAGCTGGAGGCGGGTAGAAATCCTCATGCACCGGGGACGCCTCTCAAGGGTCGCTAATAGCAGCAGGGTCCATGTCCAGGTCGAATCGGGCGTTGATGTGCTCCTGGCCAGTAAGGATCTGCTCATTCTGGCGGGAAATGGCTGCCGGCTGCTCATCAATGTAAGTGGTGGGCGCAGCAGCAGACGCGCCGGCAGCGGAGGTGGAAGTGCCAGGCGCAGAAGGTGTGGTCCGACGATTTTTCCGACGAGTGGTCCGACGGGCTGCAACATCACTCGCCTCGGGGAGATCCTCACCCTCTAGTGCACGAGGAACAGGGCGAGGATGTCCCCGGATCCAGGTCACGTCCCCGTCGTGCTGCAGTATCAGCTGGCGCAGTAGGGTGTCCCTGGAGAAGGGTGTCGGTGGCAGTATGAGAGTGAACCCGGAGAGGTCGATGT